TAAATCATTTTTTATGCTTAAAATATTGTTATTCTGTGTTAAACAATGTTGTGCTATACACACACAAACACACACTCTTCTCAGCCGGTGCTCTTTTGAATTTGGTCGTGCTATTTTGTTGGGGAAACATGAGGTAACAGGGATGGTTGAACACAGGGGACATGGGTGACATGGAGGCAGCTTCCTCCAGAGGTATGAAGGGGTCTTTCAAGAAGGGGGACATAGCAGGGGTGTCATGGAATGGGACGCAAGCCCGGGACAGGGGGGGGGGGCTAGGGCTGGCATTGGGAGTGTTCAGCACACCTCCTTCCCCGAGGCTCCGGCGGGCAGGATGTTAAGCTGGGTGAGCTGAGCCGAGTGTTCCTTGGCCTTGAGGCGGAGCGCAGCGATACTGGAGGCCCTGCGGTCCGCTGAGGAAGAGGGGGAGGAAGAGGAGGAGACGGAAGGGTCGGGGAGGACGGGCCCCACATGGGAGGGGTTCTCCACGGGAGGGGCGGGCTGGCGGAGGAGAGCGGCAGCAGTGGAAGCACTGGTCAGGGGACCCATACTGGAGAAGAGCCTGAAATAAACCACAGAAATGTAAAACACACGTATTTCTAAACATTCAGGGTTAAATTATTCATCCCAAATAATAACACAGAGCCTCATTAGTGAACAAAATACTATCTGCAGTCGGAGGGAAAACAAATAACTGTTGATTAAGATTCCCAATGTCCCTTGGATGCATTTTATTTGCTCTTAAGTTAATTTGCTTCTTTGGAAATTCTCCCGAACTAGATTTATGGCATCTATTACATGTTGACTCCTGAGTATAAAAGATGACGAGGTTAATAATGCTGCATAACAAAGGAGAGGAAAGCCAATGAGAAGCTAATTGTGGCACATACAGTGTGCGGTGCCACCCCTCCTCACAGCTTGTCTGGCAGGATCAGACGTTTTGTTAATTTACTGAGGTGCCTGACAGAGTGATTACACACCACTGTGAATGGTTAACACTATAGCATATGTATAATCAGACACTGAGAGAAACAGTTGTCTATGCAGTGTGAATGAAGATTACCATCAGTCATTGTAGTGTATAGATGTGATGGGAGTATATTTTGAGATTGGTTACTGCCGTGCATTGTTCTGTACATGTGCTTGACTACAAAATTGTAGTTATTTAACTGAAAACACTGGGATAAATGTGTCTGACAAGTCCGGATCAGTGCAGTCATGATGGAAATATATACATCAGATATCAGGTCCTGTGGTGCAGCTCACCTGCCAAAAGTGGGTCCGATGAAGGCAGGGTGGCGAAACATGGCAGCCGTGCCCAGGAAAGTGCCCAGGCCGAGCTGGGTGGCCAGGGGTGGGGCAGCGCCATTGTGTGGCGGTGGGGCCAGGCCTGGGAAAGCTGCGGCCGCTGCTGCGGCAGCCGTCCAGGCAGACTCCAGGGCCGGATGGGGATGGGGAGGAAAGGGGCCTCCGTCCAGGTAGTGGCTAAGAGGGTGGCCCGCCGCCAGGGGGCCTGGGAAAGGCAGGCCCGATGGGTGGGCCTGCACCCCGGCCTTCTCGCGTTTTCTCCACTTGGCCCTACGGTTCTGGAACCACACCTTGAGGGGCAGACAAAGATGATAATATAGATTAATATGAGCATAGAGTTTGACCATGATTATATATAGATAAACATAAAGCTAGAGGGGGTTTGTAAATTACGAGGGGAGGGACATGGAAGCTACATCTTTAAAATGTTGGGAATGGGTTAAAGTTTAACTTTGACAAATAAACACAAAGTTGAAGGAAAAAAATATAAGCACATTATCACTTTTCCCAATAGAGTGAAGAAGATAAAGAAAGAAAAGACGAATATAAATAGTTTAAAGTAACACCCCTGGTCCTGCTCACTATACGGCTGGGTAATAAAACACTATCAATAATTATAAAAAGCAATATAACAAAAGTTTAGTATAAACTTGTGTATTTGTTACTCATCGGGCAAAAACAGAGAACACACAATTGTTCCATGATTTGTTAAATGTTTTGCTGTTTATCAAGTGTTAATCATTCTTTGCTCATACAGAAGAGTTGAAAACCACAACCTTCACTGCAGAGCAAACGTTTATTTGACATTTCAAATCAAATTGGATTTGTACAGCCCATATTCACAAATCACAATTTTCCTCTTGGGGACACAGTGACATCCTTTGTCATTAAACCTCTTTTATGGGGGGTGATGAAAAACTTCCAAAAAAAGAAAAATGTATGATCATGACCATGATAATTTATTGTGATAATTATCAATGTTTTCTAAAATCTTGATATAATTTTTTGTCAATGTTCTCCAGCAGTGTTTAATTGTAGTTCACATGAGCAGACTCCTTTGAATGCTGTGTCACTGTGCACTTGGTAATAATCGTGTAGTTCAGGTGGTGGCCAACAGGCGGAAAGTCAACGGTAATGACTTGTGAAGGTAAATCCTTTAAATCTGTCTAATTAAAGGATGGGGTGGTGGTGGGGGGGTTGTCCGCTGGGTGGGTGGGGGGGTGAGATAATTAAGAGCGGTGTTAACAAAAGATCCGCAGAATCACCGCAGAACATTGGCTCCAATAACAATTAATGCGCTTTAAATTAAATTCTTCTTGGAGACGCTGCAGAACGAGCGACTTCCACCGGAGCGACTATTTAACTTTCCCACGCATCCGCCGCTGGACAGTTTGCTCTGCAGAAGCACGGGGGCGCGCACAATGAGCAAAATGTCAACACGAGGGGAAGTGATTGAACTGAGCCAGCTTGAGCGACAGGGACCGCGCGCGCACACACACACACACACACACACACACACACACACACACACA